GTCAAGAAGATCTGCTGTTCAGTAATGGTAACTGGCAAACTAAGCCCCGCAGGACTTGAAGTGGTGAACCACATAAGGCCCCGCCTCTAGGTTAGGTGTGGTATTGAACTGGATGACACTAAAGACGCTGGCGGTGGCGGGGCTCCAAACCCGGGCCGTAGGGTCCAAAGCACGCCGATGACAACGATTAAATCACTGCGTCACCACAACCCATTTAGGTAAAAGCAGAAAAACAGACTGAGCGGAATGATATTGACGATCCACCTTGTGTCCGCATTCAACTATCTGCGCACATTTACCGAAGGGGGACTATCGGTGTAGAACGCAGTAAAAAAAAGTTGCATTAGGAGGTAGAGGAGCAGAGGTTTATATGGTAACCACCAATGGATTCATGGTCCAACGAGGCGCTTGATCCCTCCATACATAAAAAGCTCCGAATTGGAATAATTTGTGATAGAAAAACTCAAACTGGGATTAAAAAGGGTAAATGGGTGTATAAAAGCAAACGTTTTGGCAAGGATGGAACATTTTTGACGGCAATTCTCATCTCCCGGATCCCATTCTGGATGGCGGGCTACTCCAGCGGAAGCCAAAGCTGAAGCCAGCATCTTTATACCTCTACGCCATGTCATGGTCTGACCGCCGCAGCGCTTCTTCCAACCTTGCCCGGCATGTGCAAAGAGAGCACGGAAAGGTAGTCAGTGGGCAGGCATATGCAGTATGTGACCAAGACAACGGAGACGGTGTAGAGTGACTATTTCGTTCAGAGAACGACCATCCACACCCAACACCCGACGACAAACCTCATAAATGCTCACCCGATGTGCTCACCAGACACGAACAGTGCTTTAGAGACATCGGTGATCGAATACAGAAATTCGATTAGTAAGCTCAGTGCGGAGGGGCCAGATCGCAATCGGTACTGTGCTTCCGGGTCAATGCATGCTTTCAACCTCCGACACTGAACCACAAACACACCGCCCCCATAGGTGAATCGCATCAGAGTCAGACAGCTGACACAAACGTCAAGACAAGGAAATGTTTTTATGCACTCCAGGGGTGTATGGATTCGCAGTTTGATTCGCAAAATAGTAGCTGCGCGATAAAGCCGTTTCGTTCAAAAAGATGTAAAAACAACTGGTAAAGCTAACCCAGTGGATGCGCTGTTATAATGTGGGGATCTATGCGTTGTGGGGCGAGGTTGGGAACGGGTACATAAATGAGAGAGTTAGGTTTAAGGATTACATTATATAGACTGTGATCGGTGTTAAAAAAAAAGACTTTTGGTAAGTTAGTCACATGAATCGAAATGCTTGCGAAAGGAGTAAATCAATAAGATCATCATGGGGAATTCCACTGAATCAACAGATAAGAATTTAAGAGAGTGGGCAATCATAGGGAAGTCTTTATATTTTAAACCCCGGAAAATAATGAAGGAGTAGTACAGCCGCTGATGCTGTGAAGACCGATTTCCAATCGTGACGGGAATGCACAGCGTTGTTAGGGGCCCGTAAGTCAACACAAGAAATCCGAACAAACAAGACAGCGTGTTGATCGAAGCCGAGTTAACAATCTAATGAATGATCGTGTGAGGATACATCGATTGATTGAACGATGGCCTATAACTAGGTCAGACTGACGCACGGACAAAATGGCCTGGAAGGATATTGGTCAGTGTCTGCCATGATCAACTGTATCACGTTATTGAACGATCAATACGAACGAATAGACGAATGTATACTTAGCAGAGGCATAAAACACGCGATGAAGAAGTTTCGAATTAGGTATAGGCGGAAATTAGGATTTCCAAGTCTATGAGTGCTAAAGGACGATAACTTGTGAACTTTTATGTGAGCACTTTCAACAGATCAAGAACCATGAAAGATTGTGAGATACCATAATCCCTAAATATATTTTACACAAGTGGCCTTAGGAA